ACATTGCTCAGTTACTGTAGCAATGAGGCCTGGAATTTGGGTGCATATTTTCCCAGGCACAGTGCTAGAATCCAGAGCAGTCCTTGGTGGTCTGTAAAGCCCTGCACAGCCTCTGCTGCTGCCTTTCGCATCTACCCTGGCCTCCTCTCACCCCCCTCTCCTGGCAGATGTGTGTGCAGGCCAGCCAGTCCTGCAAGGGCAAAGGAGCCAGGGTCTGGACAAGCTCTTGTTGCCTAGTATTTACAGAACAGGATGAGGGAGGGGAGAGGAGATGGCAGGGAATGACTTTGGTCTGTGGGAGAAAAACAAGTTTGTTGCAGTTTTTAGCAAAAATCTAAAAGAGGGAGAACTAAAAGAGGTCAGAGGAGATGAAAGTAAAGAAGAAGTGTACTAAAGAAGGTTTATTTTTAAAGCAAATTCAGGCTACCCTACACATGCACATATTGATTCCCATTGCACCCCATGTTGCATTGGGGATGCCCCCAGGCTTCTGCAAATGGGTCTGGCAGCATAAATTCCCCACCAGGCTTGAATGTGAGTTCATTAATACCCCTTGCCCTGCTGGTAAGGGGAACTGGGTCAGTTCCTCTGCCACTTGCATCCTGAACATTTCCCTTCTCTGTCTCATGCTGGCTCTGGCATAGGGATTTCGGGGTAGTTGGCAGCCATCTGGCATGGCTGTCATGTCCACACAAGAGACAAGCTTGTCTCTAATGGCTTTAAACTGAGCAATGGTTTAGATATTGGATTAGATATTAGTAAGAAATTGTTTACTGTGAGGGTGGTGAGGCAGTGGAATGGGTTGCTCAGACAAGTTTTGGATGCCCCATCCCTGGAAGTATTCAAGGCCACATTGGATCTAGGAAACCTGGTCTAGTGGAAGGTGTCCCTGCCCAAGGCAGGGGGGTTGGAACTCGATCTTTAAGGTCCCTGCTAACCCGAACCATTCTATGACACTGTGATTCTAAGGGCAAAGTAACTCTTCTTCAAAGGCTCCCTTCTGCAGTGTAACAGGCTGGTGAGGAGAGGTGTGCAATGCCCAGAGAGCCTCACCTGCAAGTGCCTCCATCTCCCCAGAGTACCTGGCTGGAGGAAAGATAAAAGATGCGACTACTCCGCTGGCGTGAGTTCCAGCACTGCCAGTGTGCTCCCACCTCACACCTGCCTCTGTACTGGAGGAGTGGATTTACCAGAGCTGAGGGATGAAGTGCATCAGCAGAAGTTGGTGACTGAGTCTGCAAAGGGTCTGTCTCTCCTATGCCTCTGCATGAGCAGCTCTTCACCTCCCTGAGAGGAATTGTGTTCCCCAGAATGACAGAAACTTTTGTTTCTGTCATGCTTTTGGTTTTGTCATTCTTTTGTTTCAACAGCCTGCATTGACTGTGAGGGAAAAGATAAAATTTGAAGGAAAAATAAATGGTTTTGGAGCTGTTCCTTATTTCAAACATGCCAGCCTGCTTCCAGTCTTAAACAATGCCTTTGTTCACAAGGCTGGGACATTTCCCTTGGCCAGGAGGGAGATTATACCCTTCAATTCGCAGCTAGGGCTTGGCATATGGTTTTGCCACTGCATGCAGAAGAATTAATGAAATGAGCTTTGGGCTTCCAGGAGATCTCATGGCAGGGATACTTGCTATACCTTCTCTGTGCTAAGTGATCCTGCTTGATACACACAGACAGCCCTACATTTTAGGTTTTAAATTGAGTTAGTTTTCTTTTAAATATATTATCTGTTTATTGTTATGACTTGCTTCCAGGGTCATGGCTTGTCCTTGGCTGACTGCACTGGTCTACCAGTCAGTCAGAGCCCCTGCAGAAGTGCACCAAGTTTGACCAACTCTGTTGGCAGAGGCTTCATCTATACTAGAAAATCTAAACATCTGTCTGATTTCATGGTTAGCATGCCCTCTGACCACCTTTTTGGCCTGTGCCAGTCAGTTCTAGCCTAAAAAAGACCTGGACACAATCTGAGAAAGAACTTGTTAAGGAGCAGTTCCCATTTATTTCTTTATTAATGAAATAACCCTGAGTCTGGTATCAGTTTCTGTTCACATCAGAGCACCCTGGACAGGTCTGGGATCAAGCCTAGGGTTCACTTTTAAGGCTCTGAAGAACTTATTGCATGAATATAGGTGGCAGCTTTCCTAGTGTTTGACAGCATCTCTAGGTCTATGGACATATCAGCAGGCAAGAGGGGTTTGGACACAGCCATCCTGTTTTGGTGGAGAATTTAGGTGGCTGGACATGACTTGTGCCCTCAGGCCTTGGACGTCTCAGATGGTTTTATTTCATAACATAGATGCAACCAGTTATCAAGGGGGCCATCGCTTGGCTACAGCTGTGCTGAGGACAACAGCTCCCAGGCAGTCCTGCTGCTGCCAGAGGCACAACCTTCCCATGCAAGGAAGGAGGGTGATGGCAATGGCTGTTGTTCACCATCACAGGGGCAATGCTGGGGCCAGTGCAGAAGACTCATCTGCCTGCCATGAGACAGCTTTCAGCAAGTCTCCTTTCACTCTGCAGTGCCACTGACTGGCATCTTTCATGATGGTTTTTGGAAGCTACTTCTTTTTCATTTCCCATTTGGCCTCCCAAAATGCAAGTCTCTGTGAACCAAACTCTGCGTGGCCTGAGCAGAGATAAGTTTACACAGGTGATGTTCCAACACAAACAAAATCTGCAGCAGATTATAGGATTAACATTCACCCTGAAGGCAGCAGCAACTGCCGAGCCTTTTGATGAGAAAAATGGAAAAAAGTGGGAAAATGGAGAAGATCAGATTACAAAACCAGCTCTGCTTCACCTAACTAGAAAAACTGAGCCAGGCAAGCCTGCAAGGATGGCAGAGTGCTTGAGCATAGCAAATGTTCTTGCCGTTGACTGGCCCCAAGTCTCTTACAACCTTGATACATAGCACAGCCTGGAGAAGAGGCTGGTGACAAGGAGCAGAGCTGGATGTCTCTGGCTGTGGTAGGGAGGCAGGCAGGAGGAGAGCTAGGGGTAAGGTGCTGCTGTAAGATGGCTCTCTCTCCTGCCTATCATTTTTGGACTTGCTGTTGATTGAGCAGAGTTGATGTTTGCTCTGATCCCACTTTCTCTTTGCAGAGCTTTCTGTAGTGTATCCAACTGTAGCAGCCTGATACCGCTTCACAAATTAGCCCTCAGAATGGGACAGCTGCTGAAGGGAGAGTCACACCTCAAAGAGTGGTAGAAAGCTGCCAAGAAACGGTATGGGATTGCTACATATCCACAATATATGGACACATTGGCCATTGGGAAGTACCCAGCCCAACAGGATCTTGGTTCTCAGTTGGATTCCTGAGATACTGGTGACATATAATCAGAGCTTCCTTTTTCTCTGTTCTCTATGAAATAAGATGTTTCAGAGACTCCTTGCCACCTACAACAGGCATTACTGGCTTCTTCTCTCACATCCTGCCCATGTCATGGTCCAGTGGTCTGATCTCCACCTGGACCACAAAAACACTGAGTTTCAAGGTCGTAGCTACAACCACAGTCTTATCTCCCTTGCCTCCAGCTGTTCCTGGCTGTCAGAATCAGATGTGGTATCCTCCACAGAAGCATGGCACTCTGCCCATTCATACCTTCAGATACTTTCTCAATCAAGACAAGCACCGTCTTAAAACCTGGTGCCCCAAGAGAGCTATTATGTGCCTGTTATTTCAGCAAGCTCTTGAAGAGCTGTTTTGTTTTCATTCTACAAGGGTACCTATACTAATCTGCTCCTGGTATGAGCCTTTAGGGATTTCAATGCACAACCTGAATTCCTCTCCTTCTGGATGTCTTTAGAGATAAAAAAAAATGTCTCCTTTCTTAGTAATTTTGTTTTGTAGCTGGATGTTGGTTCGCCTTTCTTTGTGAAATCTTCCTTACAGTAAAAATCCTTTATTCTGCTTAATGCCCACACTTCTTCCAACACACCTTCTGCAGTCTTACAGTGTCTGCAAGAGTGATATCCATTGCAGATGGTGCTCTCAGAGGAGAGACAAACACTCCTTTGTTATTCACTCAACACAAAATAGATGCAGCAAATTCCCCACACACTCCTGTTTCCTTTGTGGAGGGAGAGGCGATGCAAGTGAAGATTTTTTGGGAGATGATCAGATGCTTCCTAGCAGACCAGGATGGTGTAGTTAGGCTGCCGAGTACCTCTGTGGTACCCAGCCCATATTGGAGAATCCATTTCCTGGAGGTCCTGCTCTGAAAGATGAGGAAGGGATCCCTCCCTGTCTCATGGTGTAGACTTGATCAACCTCTGGCCATGCTCTTATACTTGGCCTTAGGTCAGAGACACTTTCTGCAGTGTCTGCAGTGCAGTATCTGTGCAACGACAGTTCCCCTGTCCCCTATGGCTGCTACAGCCCCAGGGTCTTTTGGCAGTGCCTCTGGGATGGATGTGGTGTGCCATTGGGCATCCTGCCTCCACTCCAAACAGTTTTCATCTACTGCCAGGAGATTTTCACCCTTCTGATTTACCTGCATGGAGGATTGGGAAATGTATTTGGTTTTTATTTGTTTGAAAGCCTGTTTTCCTAGCTAGACATAAGGAACTACCATTCCCAGAGTTCCTGATCAGCAGACATTTTTTCTTTAACATAAACCTGGACAAAATAGTTCATCAAAGATTTACAGTGTCTCTGCCATAACCTACTGCAAGAACATCCCACCTCCACATACCAGATCCTCTCCAAGCATCTTTTATAAGTATTCCTCTAGTTCTTCCAAGCTAGGGATAAGGGCATAATTTAAACAAGCAGACCAAGTCATCTCACAAGAAAGCCTTTGCTCTTGAACTGGCTTGGATGTATTGCAAACTGGCCAACTTCCTTGCCTACATACTTTTCAGGTAGTTTTTTGGCTTCCATCAGCTTTCAAATGAATGTGTTGAAGCAGATGAGATTGACCCAAATTTACACAGGTAAGAAAGAAAACATCTTGCTTGAGATTTTCAGATGACTAACATGACTTTGTGTTTTCAGATCGATCTACTGGAGAATGACAGTGGAGAGAAGGCAAATTTTATCCTGGGATGTCACTACATAAATCAACTGATCTCAGATTCTAAGAGCAGAGCAATAAAGAGGAGTTTGGAAGGAGAAGAAAGGGTAACTCACCTCTTTAGTCTGTGTACAGACTTTTATTAATGTGGTATTCAAGATAAGTTTTATTCTCCCTCTCCCTTTTCAGTGTCCTTTGCACAACACCTTAAGGTACAAATGCTTTCACTCTATCAACATGGAAATTGCTGCCACTTTTGCTCACTGTCAGTATTGGTGGTGCTGGGCACTCCAGTTTTTTACCTCACGTCTGACCAGTCCCACTGCACATACTGGCTGTCTGGGCCCTCAATTCCTGGTGGAAACCCAAAGTGAGACCTGCACAGGTACCCACAGTGATACAGAGATGTAGGTGACAGCAGATGTGCCTCCTGCTATCATGGCTCTGCTATGGAAAAAGCCACTCAGTGGAAGAATGGGAGCCCACAATCTGGTGGCAGAAGGCCTTGTTGCTGGACCAGGCCTTCAAGAGCTGGAAACCTTTCTCCCTGTAGCTTTTGAAGGCCATCTCCACCTGGCTGTTCCAGCCTTGCTCCTTCTTGGGGCACAGTTTGGTCAGCAGGAATGCTTTGGCCCGTACAGGTTATTCTGTTTCCCCAAAGAGAGCACAGCTTTCTGGCCAAAAGATTTTATGACCAGCATGATCAAATTTACATGAAGGTTTTTGCCAGCTTTGCTATATTGGTCAGGGCTAGAGAATGGGCTGAGGGTAAATGACACTCCTGGAGATAGAGCTCTGCCAGAAAAAATTCTAGTATGCCTTACTCTTAACAGCTGCCCTTCTGGTTCTGTATGTCTGATTATTTTTAGTTTGCCTTTGCAATAGACAGACCCATACCTTTCTCATTAATAACGTGAAATTTGCCAAGTTCGCAGTGCACATCTTAATTAACTCAATGTTCACTTGAAAGAAAATTATATTGCTGCACTTTTATTTGATAATTCAAGTAATACTCACTGAGTGTTCACTCCTGACCTGCAAGCCCTCATATTTAAAACAAGCAGGGAGGTGGGGGATGGGGTAGGGGAGAGAGAAAGGCATTTTTTGGCAAAGAAACTGCTGCCCTCAGGCTATTAGTGCATCTTAATTCTGAACAGAAAATGAAATCACTTTGGGCAGGTGCCAAGCAATACAATGACTTTCCTCTGATTTCAGGGAGTTCTTGAACAGCCTTTCCCACATGAAGTAAGAGCCATACTCTTCATTGTGCTCTCACTTCACAAACATTTTATACCCCCACCAAGGCAGGGTCCCAGAGGAGTTTCCCCACACTAACAAAAGAAAAACAGACCTCATTGGTGCTGTTATTTATTATTTTTATTATGGCTCAGGGCCCATGTTTACTGTTTCTGACACTGGACTTCATGCCTGTAGAGCCAATGGGCACATTTTTTCTTCTAACTGTGCTTTTGAGCATAATTACCTCTATATGGCATCATTTGCTGGTCCCCTGATAGTGTTACTCAGAAAGAAAGATGTCTGAACCTCTTCCTGCAAGGCAGAAGATCTATAATAGTCATTGGGCTGCTCAAAGAAGCCAGATAGCATCCCCTTGTCACTGATTTGTCGTGGGGCATAATGCATGGTCCTGTTTAGCTACCCTGATGCTGCAGTGCTGACAAAAGGGACTGCTCAGGTCTCTTCTGCTCCCCTGGGGGCTTCTGGCCACCTCTTATCCCCCAACTAGGACCTGACATGAGAAGCTGTGAGTAAATCAGATCAGCTGACTTATTTGGCTAGAAATTAACCCAGGAAAATATCTGTGGGGTGTGTGCTGGTCTGAGTGACTGCCCAGCCATGCAATGATGGGGAGAGGTGAAGGAGCAGGATGGCTTCAGTTGCTGGCAACCCACACTTAAATGTCCTCTGAGTAGTAGCTGGTAAGATATTGGCTCCCTCCTTGATGTGGGTGCAAATGCAAGCATTGCATGAGAGGACTGCAGGAGATGAGGTAAGGAGCAGAGGGGAGCAGGGGCATGGGGATTTTCTGAAAAGGCAGCAAAAGGGGTGGGGCGGAGCTGAACACTGTGGGCCGTGGGGGCTGGTGAGGAACTCAGTGCAAATGAACAGGAGACAAAGCTCACCGAAAGAAAACATTTCTGCATGAACACCCTTCTGCATGAAACTATTGAGGAAAAAGAAAAAAAGCTGTGCAGGAAGAGCCCAGTGGTGAGTGGAGATTTGAGGCTATAAGGAAAACTCTGCTTTGCTGACAGAGAAGGTTTTAACAGAGTCAAACCAGAAAGGAAAATTAGTGATGAAGAGCCATTTAGCAGTTGAACAGAGGGGTCTCAGAGAGCACAGGCATCTAGAAGAAGAATGTGGGGTGGTGGTGCCTTGTAAAATGGAGAGCCGAGGACAGCAGAATGCCGTAGGCACTGCTGAGAGAGAGAGGGGGTAGCAGAGGGCCTGAGCTACATCCAGCAGTTAAAGTGAAGCCAGCAGCAGAGGAACATCAGCAGGATGTTGGTGTGCTGCATTGCACTGCAGAAAGCAACAAGCAGACCTGGCTCTCCAGAGTCCAGGTGAGAGCTTGTCATTTGAGCAGATGGAAAAGTACCTGGCCCTACCCACATGTGTGACTGCAGAGAACCTCCAAGGACAGCAATTCAGCAGCAGTGACATTGCACTCTTCCTGACACTGCACAGAGCAGGAAAAAAAATTGGTGATGCATCTCTAATTCTGATAACAGGACCTAGGAGACACACTGATGACATTGGATCTTCTCATGGGGGCACAGGCCAGCAGCCATTCTGGGACAGAGTAAAGCAGAAGCACAGCCGTCCCATTAACACCATTGTGAGACTGGCAGGATGCAGTCACCTGCATTTGGCACAGCAGGGAAGTGCAGTGTTTCAGACAGATATAAATCAATGTGTCAAATATCTCCGGTGCTGTGATACAGAAATGCCAGCAAAAGCAGTCCTGGGACAAAAAGCCTTCAGTCCCTGAAATCTGATAAAAAAATCTTAAAGCCTACCTCACAGTAGAGCAATGCTTTTCTGGGTTTTGAAGACATGAGATGGATAGTTTGTCAGGGCCCTGAGTACATTCTCCCCCTTCTAGGATTTTGGCTGGCGGCTCCAGACCAGCTGGCTGGTCAGAACTGGTGAAGAAAAAAGAGCTGGAAGAAGCTGTTGTGGAGGATCCCCTGCATAGCTCTGCTGAGATGCTTTCATGGGAGATCCCCTCCTTAGCCTGGGAACTGCTTTTCAGTCACGGCTCTCTCATGCTTGGCTCCCGCCTGAGTTGTGCCATGGCCATGTTCGTGCCAGACTGGTATCCTGCTGATGGGAGCCCTGACCCTGCCACGGGCTCTTGATTTCCTGGCTGAACCTCAAGCTTGCCTCGTCACTTTGGGCGTTGCTGCTCCCAGTTATAGTTTCATTGTGCCTGCCAGGCTCAGGCAGAGGCACTTGTCCAGCAATGGATCTGTGCTGCGGTGGAAAATGATGGATGATATCTCCTCTGCTGCAGGGAAATTGAATCAGCAGGAATCACTGAAGATGACATCCCAGGCTCCCTTGGGATTCCAACACAACCCCTCCCTGCAAGAGAGCAGCTACTGCCTGAAATTATGAATGCGCACCATGGCATCCACCACCAGCAAGACTCAGAAAGGGCTGGGGAGCAAAGCCTGTGCCACAACTAAAGACAATTGAGCAAGTGGAGAAAGCACTGGAATGATTTTGCATTATAATTCAGGGAAAGAGAGAAACATCATTATAATCTGTAGCTGCATAGGCTACTGAGGTGAATAAGGCAACAAAACATCGCTCTTTGCACACCCAAGATGTGATCACCTATCTGCTCTCTACACCAAATGTGCTATGTGTACTAAATGCTCCATGTGGGCACAAGCAGTTCAGGCTGGACCAAGAAAGCAGAATGGTAATGACTTTAAGAAGACAGCATTTCAAGTGTCTGCCTCTTGAAATACTGCCTATCTTGGAGATATTTCCCAACAGATTCCCAAAATAACACAAAGCTGGTGAAGGGCGAGAGTCACTCTTGATGATATTCTTAGGCATGACAGATGCAGAGAAAAACATGACAAAAACCCCCAAAACCAGCAGCATTACCTACATGAAGCAGAGAGTGCAGCCTAAAATTGAGTCACGGCAAAATGCAAATCCATGCAAAGGAACTGAATTATTTTGTCCACGCTGCAGAAAGAGAAGACATCAGATTTGATTCAAAGTAAAGAAAGCAGCTAATGAAGAGCAACTTCTCTCTCAAAGTCAGCAAATGCACAAGAAATATTGACATACCTCTCAAGATTTATACCATGAGCAGCATAAATGCATGGCTTATGAACTGGGGAAGGATATAAATGAGGAAGGCTTAGAGAGGCATTGGCAAGAAAACATTAAACAAGACCTCCAAATCAACAAAAGCAAGACAAATACCACATCAGACAGTTAAAGCAGTAGAAAGGACCTCTGGTAGCATATGGATGAACTGAAGCCAATGCTGCAAAACTATATTCCTAGAAAAGCACTTGTTTGGGTGTCATATTTTACTCTTTCACCGTACTGGACCACAGGCTGACACTGCCAGCAATTCACAGTCCATTAGCAGATGTTCTTCACAAGTCTCATGCTCCTGTACAACCAAGTAATTCACATATAACTCTCAACCTAGAAAGACTCAAATTGAAAGGGAAAATATAATCAGGGGAAGACAAGTTCTTCTGGTATGTCTTCTTCCTTGAAATTTCATACCGAATAGGAAAAAAAGTGTTTGAGGAAGGAATCCATATTGATAGTTGAACATTTAATAGTGTCTACATTTAAGCTATCAGAATAGCAGGAGAAAGCAGAGTGTGGGATGTGCTGGATTTTAAAAGGAAGCAAAGAGAGCAGAGTGACCTGCACAAGAATAACAAGCTCCCTTGGCTATTGCAAACTTTTGGAATGAGAAAAACGTTGTCTGCAGAGAAAAGACTAAGGCTGAAAGGTAAGGAGAAACTGTGATTCCTAGCAAAATGGATATATATATTAAAAAAAAAAAAAAAAAGATGGACAAAGGGCATTTTGC